TATAGTGAAGCAGATGTTAAAGAAAATATACATCCACACAGTGGAAAAAAATTGAAAGTGAGTTCTTATATGATGTTTGAATTTGATAGTAGTTATATCTCATTCTCCTTTTTTTTAGGTTACACTTTATACTGGACGGCCAGTCGAATGGCATGTTGAGGAACGATATAAATTCAGATTATCAAAACTTCTACCAAATCTTATTGAATGGTTGAACGATTACGAAAAATGTAAATATTATTTTAAGATAAATAATAAGAGTCGAAATACCACCTAATCCTTATTTGCATATATTTTTAGTCATTATTGCTCCTAACAGTTTGCATGGACTTAGAAATAAAATCAGACAAGGCTTAATCGAGGATGTGCCAATCTCAAGGCCTCGTGGTCCAACAGATTGGAAACCAAATCTTCCCGGAGAAACAGAGCAAATAATTGATTCACTTTTTGATGCTTACATCAATTACTTAACAGCAACTGGATATCCTTGGTCTGAAAGCAATTCTAATAAATTTTGGCCTGTAGATATTCAAATATGCCCCAAGTATATCCTTAGGTAAAATTTTTAATTTTTTTTTTTTTTTTTAAGTTCGTTCTATAGTGAAAGTTAAATAATTGGCTAATTCGCCTATGGATATTTAAGGAGTCATGTAATATATGGGCCCGCACTTTTAATGGGCATAAAACTACTGCCTCCGAAAAAGTTATTTGCTCATTCGTTCCGACAATCGCGGAGTGATGCAGATCCTTTTCAAGTAATTAATCATTATGGTTCCGATGTTTTTCGATATGTCTATTTAGCGTACGGTGATTACTCTAACTCAAATGGTATACATTGTATAATTATTTCGATTTTTTTATTTATTTATATCATTTTAATTTAACAGTTTCAAATTTTCCTAGAGTTTTCAAACCAAACTATCAATAGTCGGTATGCCACAGATTTAGTGAATCAACTTGGTCAACTAATTCATAAATGTTTGTCTCCTAAATTATTCCCAAATGGACCATGGATTCCGACATTTCCAACCAACCAAAATGGAATGCCTGATATTGATAAACTTATACAGCAGGCATTAGAAAATTTGCCAGGTAAACTTACTCGATTTGTATGATATCTAGGCTTTTGTCATCAAAAATTTCCGGTAATAAATTACTTTGTTCTGATTTATTCAGATACCGTGGATAAGCATTATGAAAAGTTAGAATTTTCCAAAGCTCTAAAACAAATACTCGCCACTATTACTTTGGTAAACCATGTTTACTTAAATATTATTATTATTATTTATTGCCATTATCATAATATTCTACTTATTAACATCTTTCATGTCTAAGGCCAATGAGTATTTCGATAAAGTATCACCAATCGGATTCCTTACGACGAAAGATTACATCTCGATAAATCGCGCGTTATATCATTCATTTGAAACATTACGAATGACTGGGATATTATTGCAACCAATAATGCCGGATAGATCTTTGAAATTATTAAATATACTAGGTGTAAAACATGATGAGCATAAATGGGAAGATGCCAAATTCGGAAAGGGCTGGCCGATTCTAGATAATAAAAGACGTAGATGGGCACCTTATTTATATTACAATTTATACCCTTATATTACAAATCTAGTTGATGATGATGTTACTAATAAGGAAAATAAGCAAGATACAAAAAAGGTGATCTACAGAGGAATATTGCGCTAGAACATAGAAATAATAATGTGCAACCAATACGTAAATCGAATAGTTGATGTTCCCTACAGAATGTGAAAGGATAGTCAGACTATGTCTCTGTAATTTTGATAAATGATCGATTTGGCGAAAAAACATACATGTCTATATTTGTCACCCAAATCCCAAACTAATAATTTTGGTTTGTCCACGCCAAAATCCCAAACTCTGGCCAAAATTTATATCTCCAAAACTTTAATGATCTTTAACTAAAACAAATGAGATATATTTTTATATAGAATATGTTTACAAAATATCAAGATTATATTTTTTTTATTTAATTTTTTACAAATTGCTATTTTGGAGTTGGGATTTGTCAGGCCTAACTAAAGAGATTTTTAAGAATATTCTGATTACCAATAAAATAATTATTTAAATGTAAAACATAATGAAGACGGATGATTTAAACTATACTTAACATTTCATGTTTCTAAGTAATCATCTAACCGTACTAACTTTTTTCATACCACCAAATAAAAAGTTTTACAAACCTATTGTGGTATATGAAACTCTTTAGAAAACATATAATTATTTCAAGGATTTATTATTAGATGTAACAAAAAAAATGTTTTTTTTAACAATGCTCGGGTAGTGATTTCTTATATGGGTTATAGTGATATAAAAGAATAATTGTATCTTAATTTTATTGTTTTGTGTAAAATTAAATAAAAAAAGTACTAAAATTATTTATATATAAGTTGACCTGAGTAAGCAGTATCAATATTGGTATTTGAACTATGTTCAATAAAAATTTCATTTGGGTATAAGTATAAACTTTTATATATCCAAATTTGTTTAAATAAAATTTTATATATTCAAATTCATCTAATTGTCAAAACTACACAGTATGCATCAGTTTATTATATGAAAAAAACTTAAAACTAATTTAAATTTGTTCAATTTTCTTAATATAAAATATAAATCTACAGACTTGGTTTGGCCCCAAATTAGCCAATCATAATGAAGAATAACATTGTTTAAAATTTATATGCAAAGTGAGTTATCATAAAAATGGTCTTTTGAGCTTACTTAGAGTCCATAATTAAGTGCATAGAATATTGGAATATCTTCATATTTACTTATAGGTTGAAAGTAAGTTAAAAAGGCCATTTTCCTTAAAAATTTGCTTCCGAATTCTCCCTTACCCATTATTCAACCGATCGTTCAACGACCGAACCAATTGTTCACTACCCGAAAATACCCGAACGTTTCAACAAACTGTGACAGTGCTTTCTTTTACAGCTTAGCATAGTCGTTATACTTATATTCATTTCTTTTTTTTATGTATATAGATATTCCTTTTAAGTATTATTATCTTTTATTTCCATTTTTGTATTATGATAGGTGAAACTTGTATTTACCCTAAAAGATAACGTATGATCGTCCATTTTTGTACGTATCGATATCAAAATAAACTTTTTTTATTACTTTATAAACTATTCCTTAACCTGTCCCATTATATGTAGTTATGAAGCGTAAAATATATTTACAATTACGCGATTTCAACATATGCTATATATTGTAAATGGCCAGATACAAGACCCGGGTTTGAGAGTTTATTATCGTATAGATTAAAATTTTGAAATGATACACACTTTGCGTTTATAACAGGCGGTCTAGATTTATAAAAAGAACCACATTTAATTAAAGATCTTACGATTTGCACACGGGTATAGTACATAATGGGTCTA